CTGCATTTGGAATATTATGCAGCCCCGACCCTGAGTCAAGGAAGTTAGAGCACTTCCACCAGTTAGCCCCTTGCCTACCCTCCCTTAGCAAAGTGTGTTTCCAGCAGTTTAGGCTTGCCATGGCAAATACTATTCATTTTTTTTGTTTTTTTTCACAACTTTGTTTACTTAAACAATTAATTTGGATAATGTTTTCGGATAAGATTTTTGGGTTCCTACATATGAAAAATCATTTTCTCAAGATTTTTAGCGGAGGTGCAATATTGACTAAGTATGAAAAATGATTTTTCGAAATAATCATTTTCTCAAGAAAATTTTTGGCGGCTTTTATTCCTTATACATCAAATAAGAAAACTTGATTTTATGGGATTTTAATATGAAGTATATATTGACTTAATGAGCCATCATTTTTAGCCTAAATCGTATTTTGCACTAAAACCGATTTTTCATATTTTGATTTGGTGGGAATTTGATTTTCTAGTATTTTTATTTGAATCAAAATGTGGGGTACTTCCTTATTTACATTGTAAACTTAAGTAAATGGAGTAATATAAAAATAAATAAAAGTAAAAGGACAAAGACATTTACTTAAATGTTGAAAATGGAAATAAGGTATAGAGAGAAAAACAAATAAGTAATTTTTTGGTATTTTTTTCAATTTTTTATTACAAAAATATTGGCTGTTTGTGTTAAAAGTGAAGAGTATTGGTTGGTATTTATAGAAAACAATTTCAGTATTTTTTTTTACATTTTTTTCGATTTTTAAAAAATTTAACTGAAATGCTGACGTCGTCGACTGCCGTTGGATTGCTGGAAAAAAGGAGATCGAAGAGCCCAGAGCCAGCCACGTTAGCTCAGCTCGCAAGCAAGCACTCGGGCCGAACCCCACCTCGGGCCAGCCCAGGCTGCTGGCCCCCACCTCTTGCCCGAGCTCCATTTTGTTGCTGGAAACGCCTACAAGACCCAAAACCCCCCAGCCCGAGCCCAGCCTGCATTGCTGGAAATGCTCTTAGTGCAACCACCCTAGGCCCCGGCTCAAGGGTGGGCCCCAAATTTTTTTATTTTTTTTATTTGGTCATATTTTGGTAACTAGTTATATAGATAGATATACACATCAATATTATCTTAAGTTGACTCCAATAGTGGTGGTAAGGTAGTGTGCTTCCTTTTTAATTTCAATTTTTATGTGAGTGGCTGGTTCTTTTTAGTACTTTATTTATTTATTTTATTTTATCTTCAATCATTTCTTATATACAAAAAATAAATGACATTCTTATTTATTAATTCATTTTCGTGTTATTTTTTTAATGTTTTAATTGTTTAAACTTAATTTTCTATGTGTTAAGTTTGGTTTATTTTTCCAAACAAATGGACCTTAAAAAAATTAAAATTTGGAGAACATATGATTTTATGACAAAATAGATGGGTATAAAATGGTGGCCTTTCATTTTGAATGAAAAACCATCTCCACCATTGAATTTGGAGCCATTGGGCTTTCCTTGCAGAAGTCCAATTTTTTGACATTATAAAAAATCTCTCAACTTTTAGGCTTCCAAGTCCTATAAGTAACACAACTAACCTCTATTGAAAACCTAATTTCCCAACGGGACCAAATCTCAATCCCCTTCTTTCCTAACTACTAAATTACCAAATCAGATCGAAATCGAAGCTTCTTTCTTGTTTATAGGGTGAATATATATAGGGTTTTTGGGAAGTTATTTTCTGGGTTACTTTCAAATTTTTGTTTCTTTTTTTAAGAAATAAGTTTACCGTTTTATCAATCCAACAAAGAAAAGGAAACGTCTGGAAAAGAAAGAAAAAAAAAAAAGGAAACAATTTTACAAAACCAAAAAAAAAGAGTAAATTTTGTTAATAATATTTTTTTTATTTTTGGGAAAAGGATTTAGAAACAATTTTTAGTTTTTTTTTTAACTTTCTGGAAAAGGCTTTAGAAACAATTTTTCACTCGAAATTAGAACTTTTATAATCGGATTTTCGGAAATATGAAAACCTGTTCTTAATAGAACACCGCCAAGCCGCCCCCAAATCAAAAAACCTGAAAATTGAAGCGATGCGCAGCAGCACAGTGCTTCCCTCCCAAATGACCGAGAGAGGAGGTGAAGCTGCCAAAAAGATTTACCATTTACGGCGTGTTTGGGTCCACTTGGCAATTTTGATTTCTTTTCTTGTTGAACTCGGAATGCTTGCAATTATTCCCTTTCAGACTAGGATTAGAAAACACAAACCAAACCTATATATATTCACCATATAAACCACAAGCTTCGTTTTCGATATGATTTGGGAATTTATTAGTATTTGTGTAAGAAGGGATTGAGGTTTGGTCCAGTTGGGATTTGGAATTTAGGGCTTCCTGATTCGAATTAAATTGAGGAATTCGTCCGTTTCAGGGAAACAAAATCCAAACTTTGCCTGCTAATTTACTCCGAGAGTTGAATTCTCTCACAGGATTCATCGAACATGTCGAGAAGAGACAAAGCTCATCCTTCAAGCTCCAGGAAGCGTAGCCAGAAAAGTAATGATATTTTGTTACGTAGATCGGCTGGTAGAAAACCTGTACTTGCTGCTGGTGACGATGAGAGCTATGAAGAAGTGCCTCGGCCATCGCAACCAAAGCGACTTTCCCATTACCTAGAAATGTTGTATGAGAAAAGGTTCTTCCTTTCGAATTTTGTGTTTTTTTTTTCTCTTTCTGTAACTCTCAGGGTTGTTATGTTGAATTTTCTTCGCAACAAATTTTGATGGTTTTCTTTGTTTTTGTTAATGAAGAGGATCCAAGCGAGAGGAGGCACTGGCTTCAATCATTGAAGTGTTAACTTGCAGATTAGAGAATGACTATCTGGAAGAGAAGTAAGCAAATTTTTATTTTATTTTCACAAATAACTATTCTTGTTTTATTGCTTGAAAGTTGGAAGTATAACAAGCCCCTTTGTTTCCTTGCAGTTTTGCTACCTTTCTATACAGAGGATTAAATTCCCTAGAAAAAGGTTCTTCTAAAGAGAAGCAGCTATCACTACATGTTATAGGTTTGTCTAGCTCTGTCAAATAGCACATTTATGTGGGTTTCACATTTGTCTGTAATGCTTATGGGTCTCATTTTATCATGATTTTAGGTTTGCTGGCCATAATCATTTGTTGTGAAGATAAACTCTCTGAAGTATACAGAGTTTTGCTTCCTGTACTTTCCGAGGGTCTAAAATCTGGAACCACGACATTAAAGGTAGTTTAATACGCTTGATATGCACCTAAATTTTATTAATAGGACTTCTCCAAGATGTATGAATCTCAGACTAAAAATGGTTTTATGCAGATGTTGAATTGTTTGGCTATTGTGGGTTTTTTTGGTTCAACTAACTCAGAGGAGACTGAAAGTGCCATGCAAATTATTTGGAAGTTCATTCATCCTGAATCTGTCAATGACGTATGTGCACCTTTTAATTTTTTGTTTGGTACAATTTTTTTTTAACTTCACTTCATCAGTCCCTATTTAGTTTCTCAAGCATTTAGGTTATAAATTGTTACAAATGGTACCAAATTTTAGAATAAAGAGCTGAAGTTGGTTTTTTTTTATTTTATAACTTTTAGGTCAACACAAAAAAGCATTCGCCAGAGGTTCTATTTGCTGCAATATATTCTTGGCTGTTTCTTCTTACAAG